AAAAAAAAAAAAAAAATAGAAAGAAACTCAGTCTGAGTAGGGGCTGCTGCCATCTCTCTTAGAATTTCCTCCAAAGGAAGGCTCCATTGTCCCTGCAGGGTGTGCCTCTGTGGACCCACCATCCTTCATGTGCGATGACGCCAACACCAAGTTCTTTCCCCTGTTAATTCATCGGGGGAGGAAAACACGGGGAGCTGCTCATTGGTCAACGCCGGGTGGGGAGAGTTGATCCCTGCCCTGTTTGTTGAACACCTCCAGGTCCTTTCATAGAAACTCGGGAGCGGTAGGAACAAGGGCCTACAAACTGGAGGGTGACAGCTGGGGGATTGATGACTAGAAGAGGGTGGGAGGCATTTACTTTTCTTCTCGCAGTTGAGGGAACTCAAACACCCAGGGCCCATCTGATGACTCACTGGCCCGCTCTGATTAGGCCTCCTTTCTTGATCTTTGCTGTTGCTCAACAATAGTTTCCCTCACACTGGGTCCCCTGGATTTCACCCAAGGCTGAAATACACACAGATAATGCTTTGCGCCCTGTATAGTCTATACAGATTTCTGTCCCAACCAATGCTCCATGGAAAAGCATCACTACCCACATCTGACTCCCTAGTCTTCTCTGGGGCAGGGGGGTGCTTCTTCCATCCCTGGGATGGTGGGTGGGGGATTAGACTGGTGGTAAACAGCTTAAAGCATCTCTAAAGCCTTGTCCTAAGAGAGAACCAGCCCTGTAGGAACTCTCAGGTTTGTTTGTGGCAGGGAAAACTGGACATGTGAATAGAGAGCTGGCTAGGGAAAGAAAAACAACCCACTTGAAGGTTTGTACCTGCCCAGCCTTACTTGCAAGCCTGTCATATGTTGAGCAAAACAATCTGAAGCCTGAGAAAAGAGCTGGAAATTGATGCCAAATACCTATACAGAGGTTTCAGAAGGCAAGAGGGAAGTGGGCAGAGGGATTAGCTTTCTAGACATTCATTCATTCATTAAACAAATATTTACTGGAGCACCTTATGTGTGCCAGGCACTGTTCAGGCTCTCGTGCCAGCCTCATGGGGATTGTTAGCTCTCTACATCCCTGTATAATTTTTACCATCCAGATCTTTTAGGACAGCAGCAGATGCCCTCCTCTCTGCAGCATAGAAACAATCTAAACTTAAATTCTTTGAGCACCAAGGCTGGCAGAGCCCACCTATCCAAGGAGCACAGCTGTGGGTACAGTGCCTGGGCACTGGGCACTGAATACCTTAGCTGTAACTGGGCAGAGATGGAACCTCTGAGGAGAGGTAGGGTTGGGCCTGGGTTTTTGGTGAAAACTGAAGTGGGTGATTCCCCTGGTCTGAACCAGTTCCACCTGCATCTCCACTTCAACCATTGCCAGTGACCTCAATCCAGGTAACTGAATCAGCTGTTTCCTTCAGGGAGTGAGGAAGACTGAGCCAGCCTACAGTGGCCTGAGAGAGGCTCGCCAGAAGTCTGGGAAGGGGGAAGGTAACGCTTGTAGCCTCAGGCTTCTGGAGTGCGGGTATGGAGCACCTCATGTAGCCCCTCCTTAGAGGCAAGGCCTAACCACCCACCACCACAGTTCCAGGATCTGAGACCAGAAATAGCCCAGGGGCTGGCAGGACCACATCCTGGTAGGTACCCTCTAGGGGCCACCTTTGGGCATTCTCTGGACCAGGAAAAGGAAGGACTATCTAGGAGAAGGAGAGAACAAAGAACATGGGATGGTGGTGGCTTCAGATTTTTCTTAATAAGTTGGGGATAGGTCATCGAAGTAAGGGCTCTGATGCCCCCGGCCCCATGCTGTAGCATGCCCATCTCTAGCTCCCTTAAGAACTCAAGAAACACTTGAGTGGACTGAAACTATGGCAAGGCCTCATGCAGGGCTTTGGGGATGGTCCTGCTGAAGCTGTGGGTGGTCCTTGCTCCTATCCCTACCCTCCCTGGGAGTCTCAGGACAGGTGAAATTGCAGGATCTTCAATTCAGGGTTCCAAACCACCCATCCCCTGAGCTTTCCCGGGCTCTGTCTCAGGGATACTGCTGCAAGAGCCATGCCTGGTGCAGGAGGGGTTTAGGTGGGGAGCAGAGGAGAGGAGCCTGGGCTCTGGGTCACATTACCTGAAGGCATCGTGAAGCTTCTCTCCCAGTGGGTACGTCCGGTCCTTCTTCTCGAACTCATCGTCGAGGAGGGCGAGAGAGTACGCAGCTCTGTCTACCACGTAGCGGGGCCTGGGCTGGCTCATGTCTGGGGCATTTACAGGCTTTGGGAGAGGCAAAGCAGGGGAGGATGGGGGGCATCCCTCCTCAGTGCCAGCTTGGGCCTTCTCTCTCTAGTCTTTGCTGCAGCAGTTTTATGCTGCTCTTCCCCGCCCCCATCCAGAAGGTGCCTCCCTTCCTTCTTTCAAGTCCTTCCACCAGACTTACTTCTTTCAGTGGCCTTCCTTCCCGGGCACTGATGATGCACACACTCCCCCTGGCTGTTTTGTTTGGCACCCTGTGACATCACCGTCATCCCCACTGAACACCAGGCAAAGAAAAGGTGGGAGTGCGAGGGCAGGAACCCAGCTGGGATTCGGCAGGTTGATTCTACCCCTTGCCTCCCCTCAAGGCCCCTGATGCCTCCCCTGGCCCCTCCCCCTCCCCCTCCCCAGGCCTCA